TGCGTTTCAGACCGGTCAGCCACTGGAATACACTGTATCGCATTCCGGCCAGCTTCCCGCGTTCAGTGGCGTGGCGGTGCATTGAAGTCAATGCACCGCCCGCAGTGCAATCGCCTGCACCAGAACGCGTGGCACATCAGTGCCTGCATTCCAGTCCAGTGCGATCTGCAAAAATGATTTGTCTGCTCCAGTTTTAATAAATTACCTTCACTGTTCTTTGACAAGGTTTCTAGTTTTAACTTGTTAGAAAGGCTGACAGGTCTAACTTAAGATATCCAAACACAAGAAATGACTGTCGTCCGATCCTGTTGATTTTTGCAGGACTGGACAACAATCACTGCTAGAGCATGTCAAAAGACTGCAGCATATACCATCAGCTGACAGATTTCAATAATAGCAATCTTTCTAAAGAAAATCTTATAGCAGTACTGCCATTTGACATCTATGATCAGCTTTTGTTGAACAGGCAGCAATATTCTGTATATTGTAGGGCTTTAAATGAAAGATACTTCCCACAGAAACAATACTTTAATAAAAACAATGGACATTTTGTTTGACCTTTAGCAGCTACAGACTAAACAGAACCTTTGACATTTAGCAGTCATCACCATTTAAGCCCAACATGCCCTACTACACTTTTAACAAATTGTAATAGACATACAAAAGGAATATGGGCTAATATACACTCACCAAGAAATGTGTTAGGAACATTGTACTAATACTGGGTAGGGCCTATGTTTGCTCTAAAAGCAGCCTCAATGCTTTTTGGCATTGCTTTTGCATTCCACAAACACTCTAAGACTGTGTTACTTGTTGAAATGATTGCATCAGGCAATTTCTACAGATTTGACAGCTGCACATTCATGCTGTGAAACTGTGGTTCAACCATATCTCAAAGGCGTTCCATTATATTCAGATTCTGTAATTGGTCTACAGCCCATGTGCCCCCGTGGAAATTGGGATTCATCAGACCAGGCTTCATTTTTCAGTCATGGTAAGCCTGTGTCCACTGCAGTCTCAGGTTTTCAGATCTTGGATGACAGGAGTGAAATCCAACTTAGTCTTCTGCTGTTGAAGTCCATTTGCCTCAAGGTTTAACCTGTTGTGCATTTGAATATGCTTTTCTGCTTACCACAGTTGTAGAGATTGGTTAACTGATATACTGAAGACTTTTTGTTTTTAATTTGGTTCATAGAACTGCTGCTCACTGGATATTTTTTGCACCATTCAGAGAGAACTCTAGAGACTGTTTGAAAATCCAAAACAAAGTCACTACCAAAATCAATGTGATCACAATTTTTCACCATTCTGATGTTTGATGTGAACACAAACTGCAGCTCCTGACCTGTATCTGCATCTGCATGTTTTCTGCACTGTGTTGCTGCCACATGGTCAGCTAATTAGATCACTGCATGGATAAGCAATACATACAATGTGCTCTTTTTTCACCCATATCAGGGGTCATCAACCTGTTGGTGCTATAACCTATTCTAGACTTGTGTCCTCTCTGAGCTTTGATTATCTCCCACAGTGCAACATAGACTCACCAGGCCACTTTATTAGGTACACCTTGCTAGTACAAGGTTGGACCCCCTTTTGCCTTCAAAACTGCCTTAGTTCTTCATGGCATAAATTCAACAAGGTGTTGGAAACATTCCTCAGGGATTTTGGTCCATATTGACATGATAGCATCATGCAGTTGCTGGTGCTCTATAGGATTGAGATCTGGTTACTGTGGAAGCCACTGGAGTACAGTGAACTCATTGTCCTGTTCAAGAAACCAGTTTGAGATGATGCAAGCTTTGTGACATGGTGCATTATCCTGCTGGAAGTAGCCATCAGAAGATGGGTACACTGTAGTCATAAAAAGATGGACATTGTCAGCAACAATACTCAAGTAGGCGTTTAAATGATGCTCAATTGGTACTAAAGGGCCCAAAGTGTGCCAAGAAAATATAACCCAAACCATCACACCACCATCGCAGCTGAAATCAAGACTCATCAGACCAGGCAACGTTTTCCCAATCTTCTATTGTCCTATATTGGTAAGCCCATGTGAATTGTAGCCTCCGTTTCCTGTTCTTAGCTGACAGAAGTGGCACTCGGTGGTGGTCTTCTGCTGCTGTAGCCCATCTGATTCAAGGTTCAATATGTTGTGCATTCAGAGATGGTATTCTGCATACCTTGGTTGTAATGAGTGGTTATTTGAATTACTGTTGCCTTTATATCATCTCGAACCAGTCTGCCCATTCTCCTCAGACCTCTGACATCAACAAGGCATTTTTGTCAACACAACTGCAGCTCACTGGATATTTTCTCTTTTTCGGACCATTCTCTGTAAAACCTAGAGATTTGTTGTGCGTGAAAATCCCAGTAGATCAGCAGTTTTTGAAATACTCAGACCAGCCCGTCTGGCACCAACAACCATGTCACGTTCAAAGTCACTTAAATCCCCTTTCTTTTCCATTCTGATGCTCAGTTTGAACTGCAGAAAGTCATCTTCACCGTGTCTACATGGCTAAATGCATTGAGTTGCTGCCATGTGATTGGCTGATTAGCAATTTGTGTTAATAAGCAATTCAACAGGTGTACCTAATAAAGTGGCCGGTGAGTGTATATTGGTCGTTTAATTGGTTTATAGTCATGGCCAAAAATATTGGCATCCCTGCATTTCTGTCAGATAATGCACCACTTCGCACAGAAAATTGTTGCAATTACAAAATGTTTAGGCATTCTCTTGTTCATTTCTTTTGTTTTTATTGATATGACAAAAAAGTGGAGAAGAAAAAAGCCAAATATGACATTCCACACAAAACTCCAAAATGGACTGGACAAAATTATTGGCACCTTCTCCAAATTGCAAGAAATTATTGCATTCCAAGTTTGTGATGCTCCTGTAATTTGTAATTAAACTCACCTGCATCAATTTAAAGGTGCTGACAATATAGAAATCACACCACAACCAGTTAAAATTGTGAAAAATGTACTCAATCTTTCTATTGTGTGTCTCTGTGTGCCACACGGAGCATGTAGAAGAGAAAGAGCAGCAAAGGGTTGTCTGAGGATTTTAGAACAGGTTTTTGTGGAAAACCATGGAGAATCCCAAGGTTACAAGTCCATCTCCAGAGATCTTTATGTGCCTGTGTCCACTGTGCGCAACATTGTAAAGAAGTTAACAGCCCATGTCACTGTAGCTAATCGACGTGGACGTAAGAGAACAATTGATCAACGATTGCAAAAAAGGATTGTTGGCATGGTGGATAAAGACTCTCGATCAACTTCCAGACAAATTCAAGCTGACATTCAGGCACAGGGTACAAGTGTGCCAGCTCACACTATACTTCGCCATCTGAATGAAAAGTGACACTATGGTAGGAGACCCAGGAGGACCCCACTGCTGAGACAGAAACATAAAAAAGCCAGATTGGAGTTTGCTAAAACTTACCCGAGGAAGCCAAAATCCTTTTGGGGGAATGTGCCGTTGACAGACAAAACAAAATTACAGCTTTCTGGTAAAGCCCATCATTCTACTGTTTTCAGAAAAAGAAATGAGGCTTTTAAAAAAAAAAAAAATACAGTCCCTACAGTCAAACACGGTAGAGGTTCACTTATGTTTTGGGGTTGCTTTGCTTCAGGCACTGGATGTCTTGACTGTGTGCATGGCATTATGAAATCTGAAGACTACCAAAGAATTTTGGGGTGCAGTGAAAGGGCCCAGTGTCATAAAGTTGGGTCTCCATCAGAGGTCATGGGTCTTACAGCAGGACAATGACCCAAAGCACACGTCAAAAAGCACCCAGAAATGGTTTCAGACAGAGCGCTGGAGAGTACTCTGACTGGCCAGCAATGAGTCCAGATCTGAATCCCATAGAGCACCTGTGGAGAGATCTCAAAACAGCAGTTGGGAAAAGGAACCCTTCCAATCTGAGAGACCAGAGCAGTTGGCGAAAGAAGAGTGCTCCAAAATTCCTGTAGAGAGGTGTAAGAAACTCATTGACGGTTACAGGAAGCGATTGATTTCAATTATTTTTTTTCCAAGAGCTGTGCTACTAAATATTAATTGAGGGTGCCAATAATTTTGCCCAGTCTATTTTTGGAGTTTTGCGTGGAATGTGTCAGATTTGGCTCCCCCCCCCCCCCCAATTGCAACAATTTTCCATGTGAAGTGGTGCATTATCTGACAGAAATGAAGGGGTGCCAATATTTTTGGCCATGACTGTATATACACTGGTCCGAGAGTGTGTCTGTGATTGTAGCAGGAACATTAGATCTTATATTCCATAAAACAGATGTCCCCCTGAAAAAAAAAAAGCTGTCTTTTATTGCTAGATAAGTGGTTAATAGATAGAATTATGAGGGGAAAAAATGTAACCAGCTAAAAGTGTAATATGTGCAAACTTTTAACAGTCTACTTTTAGACTGTTAAATGTACCTTTTCAGCATAAAATAGGTTGGGCAATAAGTGTATTTTTAAGAGAATGACTAAAAAGGAAAAGACAAAATAATACACTCTGTATTTTGAGTGTGGATCCGCCAATAGCAAATTGTAGAAGCGGCGCTACATGTAAACAAATCAATAGATCAATTTTATGTGGCCGAACTACAAAATCTAACTGCTGCACAAGGCATTCACAAAGACAGACTGATCTCTATATACGCCTCACATTTTCTACAGCTTTTCAGATTTTAATTATATTAAGCATTCCTAAATCAAATCAACACAAGAAGCATATTAAAGGAAAAAAAACCAAGTGAAATAAAACAAACAGATCATGATTTAATTCACGCAAGAGTCTCTGAAAAACAGCAGCTTTTCCAGAGACTGTAAAGCCTAGTTATACATGGAACCAAAGGCTCAGACTTCCTACACACAAGAAGTCTTCAAATGGGATTCTAAAGAAAAGGTTTTAAAAAGGAGAATTTTAAAATGCAGTGCTGTTCTAAAGCTCAGCAAATCTGGCCAATCAAAATTAGTGAATGCACTGCATCCCTCTGCAGTGAAGGGAAGCAACGAAGCAAGCTGTCATTTAGCAAAAGCAGACCTAACATCCAACACTACTGCTCTTCTTAGAGGGGGGGAAAAAAAAGACAGGACCTCACTCATGTCTCCTGAGAGCTGCAGTCTTCAGTATGTTAAATTACTTTCATCATGTATTTTCAGATGCTTATTGATTTCGCAGTGGGAAGACTGAACGAGCGACCGCAGCAGCCTGAAAGCAGCAGTACACGCTCTGCACGTTAGCACTATGCTGAAACAATGGCTCAGCACAAGCACATCTTTTCATTAAGATCATTTTCGGGAGAGATATGTAGCACCTGCTTTCCTGTGGGCTTTGCTTACAAGTGAACAAGATGAAGCAATTAAGAGTGGCTCACAAAGGATCCTTAATCTTTGGCAGAGGTAAGTGCTGTCATCACTTTTCACATGGCATGGAGTTGTATAATAGATCTCTCTTGTAATGCATGCTAAGCCTGGACTTCCTAGACTGTCTTAAAACAGAGAAACACGTATAATACTTTAAAAGGCAAAAATATATTTAATTCATGTATTAATGCTTCCTAAGTAATTTGTGTGCCTGGTATACGTATCCACTATAATTAAATTCAAATTCCTCAGATAAAAGATAATAAGTTATTGCATATACACAAGGAAGCTTATAAAAAACTGTGTTACTTTCATCTGAACATGTAATGGGGACTTGTTCCTCACTGTACCTCTTGTCATTTGCGTTATCCAGTCATTATTTTTCTAATATTTGCATGGCCATCACAAGAGTGAATTAGACTTGAAAGAACTTATTTGCATTGTAAGCAGGGTGATAAACAAAAAGCAAATTAAGGCACACACGCATCATTCACAGGGCATATTCAAGTTGCATTAATTTCAGACATAATCGTGACAATAGTGCAGGGGAGGCTCACTATGTCTGCTGGAAACTACTTGCTAGCAGGCTGGGGACATACTGTCTCGAATGCTGGTCACTAATCAATGCCAGGCAAAGTGTAGAAGCACCATGAAGAAAAAAGGTAAATAGAAAACACTCAATTTTAAACTGTATACTATGATAAAAGGCATTTGAATACTATCGTGTAAGGGTATACTGATATGAAAAACACTGCACGTAAGGTTGTAATCTATCTGTGTGCATGTATATCTGCAAAGGAAGAACATTACCATTAATTAAATAAATAAAAAATCAGTATAAAAATGTCTATTATAATGCATATGGGAAGTGTAATTTCAAAACAGAATCTGCATAACCATGATATCATACAAGTACTTAAGCATTTAAACTTTAAGCATTAATTAAATACACATATTTCCCGTACAAAAAAAGCTAGATGCAACAATTTTTTCTGTTAAAGGCCAAAACAACTAGTATTGCCACTTAAAGGTTGTGAGGTAAAGTAAGTCTCATTGTGTCCCACGCGTGTGGAATGGACTTTACTTATAACCTGGGCTCGAAAGTACAAAAAGGAATTAGCAGAGTCTATTGAGGGAAATTGCATATGTGACAACAAGGAGACTAGAAATTTGGTGAAGCTGTTTTGATTTGCATTCATTCTATGCAAAAGAAATGGTAAGCACTTTAAAAGCTGGCCATACACCTTACAATTATCTGCAGATTTTCTGTGGTCAGATGGAAAAAGTGCAACAGATTCCTCCATCTACACTTAACTGTGTGGGCCAATCTGTTGCACTTTTTCCATCTGACAACAGAAAATCTGCAGATAATTGTAAGGTGTATGGGCACCTTAATTCCCATAGTAATACTAGATGTCTGGGCTTTGGACACCTAGGACTCAAACACACCATTGTGATCGGGTGAACTGTGCGTTGCAGTGGCATGCATTTTAAATGGCACCCTAAGCACTAAGGCAACACAGCTCCGTTAAACAAGAGTTGCAGCATACTACAGTGCTGGGTAACACACTGCCATTGGTTGTGGGGAACTGCATTGGAAAAAAATGTCATATGCCTGTTTTCTGGTTTGTTTCTGTGCACTGGCAACCTACACATGTATTAACGCAACTCACAGGACCAGGGAAGTGTCAGGGCCAGATTTACCATTAGGCAGAGTAGGCACGTGCCTACAGGCATCCTCCATAGAAGGTAAGATACAACACCGTCAATAGCGAGGAGAGTACATTCTGCACAAAATGCACCCTCCTGTTTCAAGGAGGCGGCGCCTACAGGACCCACCGGCTTCCGCAAACACAGGGGGAAGGGCCCTGTCACTGCATAAGGCTGCTCTGTAAAATGCCTGTCTGATGTGGACAGGCGTTTAGGGCAGCCTTACGTGGCACCGGGGTCCTTCTCTGCATATGTGGAAGCCGGCGGGTCTTGCAGCAGGTAAGGGTGCCGGCTCAGGCTAAACAGATTTCCATTCGTGCCTACAGGTGCCCGAATTGGACATTCGGCCGGGTGAAGTGGCCCTTAAATTAGTTGTCAGGAAGTAAAAAAAATTGTAATAACAAGTAATTTAACTATGATATCTCCAAGCTATTTTTACATAAGCAATATCAAATAATAAGTAGTGCGATTTGTGTTTCTGAAAACATTATGACCATTAATAATGGTAAAAAAAAAAAATCAGCCTTATATAGTATAATGTATTATTCGTATAATATGGTGGTAAAGAGATGAAGGAACTAAGGAACATTTAAACAGAACAAACCTGAGCTTCGAACAAGAAAGTGAAGCAGAGAATATCCATTTGGAGAGCAGTAGTAAATTGCCTAATAGATTCCACCCCTGCTGAACAACAGAGCTACAGAACATCTTTACAAGCATCTGACAGTATGACAATGACATCATGTATCAATCTCTGAAAAGATGCTTTAGTGAACTAAATGGTCCCTTATGGCAGAAGGAAGCAGGTAGGTGTTTAGCAGCATGGTGCCAAGTTCTGCCAAACATCTTCGCTGCCTAGAAGCACAGTTGCCTGCTAGCTGTCTCCATGCATCCCACTTCTCATTTGAGCTTGTTACTCATAGCAAGTTAATAGATTCAGGGATACAAAAGATGAATTCGGTTAATTAACTCTGCTTCCCTCGACACACACTCGGGCCACAGGAAATGTAGCGCCTGAGACACAGGACTGATGCTTTATCTTTGGCCAGCGTGGGATCTGGCAGGGCTCACATTTTCCATTTTCTGTAGAAGCTTTCCCTTTACTATACAGAGAAAACTAAAGCAGGTTTTCTTCAGAGCCCAAATAAAAAGCTGCATGCAAGCTGATCAGAAATGCACTTTACCCTTAATATTTAATTCCTCCACGCAAAATATAAGTATAGCAAAAGAAAGCTAGGGTCTCCCAAAAAATAAAAAAGGGTATGTCCTGAGTTGTGTTTACTGGGAATATACTGTAGATAAATGTGTTCTGAGCTTTGTCTGGTCCTGCAGAATTTCACTTCTTGTGAGATACACTTGGAACAGACATCACATTACAGACGCACAAAACCAGAACACTGAAGTGTAAATACGGCTTGACACATTCACAACACAAAAGGACAGCACAGACTTTAGAAACCGGTGCGTCTCCAGCTACAATTAAACTAGATATTCCAGGGTGTGAACTGTCCAAAATTGCTGGCCATCGGGTGTTTAATGAAGGCTTCACATATGAGGTGCTTTTGAATATAGGAAAAAATATAATGTTGTCACTGAAAATTACAACTGTCAAATAAAACACAAACCTTGAAATAAGACATTTTGTACATAGTTCTTCATCCTACCAAATCTTTAACCTTCTCATCTCCTTGTCCTTGGTTCTATTTTTCTTTTTAGTTATAATTTATTTGTACGTAAAGATGCTCTTTTGTAAAAATAATGAACATAAATAAACATTAATATAATGCAGATATAGCTGTTAAGTGTATATATTAGAAGAGTGGATTTTAAAATAACAACCTTCTGCATATACTGCCACTTGGCGCTGTGGATATTTGATCAATTTGGATGTCTAAAGAAAATGAATATAAATTAACACCCATATAATATAGATATAGCTGTTAAGCATAAACATTAGACATTTCTGAATAAACTGCCACATGGCGCTATTTGATCAAATTTGATATCTGAAGAGCAACTTGAAGTGCACCTATCCATAAAAGAGATACATAGACTGCCATTAGAGTCTTATAATACTAGTTGCCTGGATGCGTCTGGCTTCAGAGGTACAGACCAGGAACCAGCATGAAGCAAATAAAAGTCAGAGGAAAGTCAAAACTTCTACCCTGCATACCTGTTTTGGATACGTGACTCAGAAAGTACTAAAACCAAAGCATCAACATGAGTGCCAGCCGGGTACCATTATAGGGTAGAAGTCAGCAATGACGTTTCATAAATTTTCCCCATGATAGGCTGACGCGGTAACAGAAACAAGCCCATTGGTAAGAAAAATGTAACAACATTGCAGAAAAATATTTAGCAACATTAAACTTGGCAGAACTTCCAGCTTGTTCCTATAGCAACAACAGTACAGACTAAAAGCAAATTTGCATAAATTAAGGGACTTGCAAAGGCTGAAAATCAGTGGGAGCTAAATAAAGAGCACATTTAAATATATGTATAGTCTATATGCTTGTGAAGCGCAGGGATATTGTTGACCGATATACAATATTTTGCATACATCCATAGCAAATAGACCTCATATTGAGCAATGCCCTTTTCTTACAGCGCTTAAATCATGTTTCGGAAAAGTGGAGATAGCATCACAACAGCGTGACTTGTTGTCACATATCACAGGCTCGACAACCTGGGATTCTTGTAGGAAGCTGCTATCACTGATTAGGCTGCTAACTCTCCCAGAGATGAAAACAGAACAGATCTAACAAGGACAATGTCTAGTGACTAGGTATTGAAATAAAAATTCTAACAGCTGTATCAAAAAAATGTAAAGCTGTGGATCCTATTAGGTACGGCAGAACACTTATATTATAATAATTATAAATAATAGATCACCTTTGTTCCACATGTATAATAGCTTTTTGACAGCTTTAAGGAAGAGACGTTAGGGTTACAAGGATACCTTAAAGGACAGGCACACCTTTAAGTGGAAATATATGGTCTTTTCCATTTTTTCTTTAGATTTACCAGCAAAACAGAGTTTTATTTAAGTTATCTTAACTATGTGATGTTTAAAATAAAAACATGTTTTTGTGAGCCATATTTACTCAGTGCATACTCATGTTTTACTTCCTGCTTTGCAGCACTACATCATGGCTGTGCTTTACTGCTCCTTTTCATAATGCATGTCAAGGAGGCATCTAAGGTTTTATTGTGGCCATTGTCCTATTGGGGAAATCTTCCTTCACTTCCTGTGAGCATAGGAAAAACAACTGGACATCACCCACAATTTTTAATAAGATGGGAAAGGGTTAAACCTTCTGACATTTTTTTTTTTTTATTATTGAAAGTTTATTGAAAGTTTTCCAACACAATATAGGAGGAGGGCATTAGAAAACATTTTGACAAGGGGAGTATAATAAATAAGTAATCAACCAGAATTGCAAGGCAGCATAATAATAGTCAACTAAATGGCACTACATACTACTTGTCACAGGCAATGTCCACAAAACAATAAGGCAAGAAAAAAACATATTGTAAACATGCGAGGGCAAAGCCTTAATGAGTAAGGCAAGAAGACAAGTTAGAAGAGAACGATAGGACAAAGATCCAAAGGAGGGGAGAAAAAAGGAATGGGGAAATGGAAGAGAAAAGAATAGGGTAGAAAGAAATAAGGGAGAAAAAGAAAAGGGAGACTCACCCGAGGTCTCGGCCTGTACAAGGGTAATAAAAATATATTTATATTGCGGTTTGGGGATTCCTGCTCCATTGACAACCACACCCCCATTCCTTAGACAGGTGTGACAGGGTCAAAAAGTTAAACATCTACCCAATGGGTTAACACATAGAAACATTTGAACAGAAATTTTTCTCACTATCCAAAACTGAAGAAAATAAAAGCTAAGCAATCATGTCACAGTTAAGAAAATAAAGCATGTAAAAATGTGAAAGCTACATCAACAATCCCTTTAGGGTAAAAGCCTTGGTTTTATTTTGCTCTTTAGTACCCTGTTTATTTTTACATAAAGATGCCATTTCGTGAAAATAACTAACATAAATACCCATATAATGTAGACATAGTCTTCTACATACAGTGCTACATGGCATTATTTTATCAAATTTGATGTCTGAAGAGCGACCTAAAGTACACCTGCCATGACAACAATACATATGCTGCCATTAGTAGCCTCAGTTTTAGAATAGTAGTTAGCTTGTTGTGCTGGCTTCCAAGTTACAGACCAGGAGCAAGCACTCAACAAACAAAAGTCAGAAAAAAAGTCACAACTCCTACCCTGCATACTGTTTCTGGATAAGTGACGCAGAAAGTACTAAAACCAAAGCATCAACATGAGTGCCAGCCAGGTACCATTATAGGGTAGAAGTCAGCAATGGCAGTTTCCCCCATGATAGGTTTTACGCGGTAACAGAAACAAGCCCAAGTGACTCTGAAAGCCACGTACACGTGATCTAAATTTTCCACGTAGGCATGTGTATTTTACCACAAGTCGGCAGAACACTTGAAATTGCCAGCTAAGAGCAATCATTTCTAAAAGGAACCAGGGAAGACATAAAAATATATGTGACAAATTGTCATTACATACTAAATGTGGCACCAAGCAATGTGTAATAATTATTTATTTGCTCATTTTAGAAAAAAAAACAACACATGTACGCATTTCACGATTTGCCTTTCTGATATTGTATTTGTCTTCTCACAGGACTCATGCTGCCTATCTCAACAGAATGTGTTTCATGTTCTTGCTGGACACCAACATGCAGTCTGAGGCCAATATAACAGTCCGCGATGAGATTGACGACGTCAGCACCAACATGTACAGACCACTGTCATACCCACTCAGCTTCCAAATTTCCCTTACCTGTTTCCTCATGCTAGAAATTGTTCTGGGCCTTGGAAGTAACCTCACCGTACTGGTTCTTTACTGCATGAAATCCAACCTGATCAATTCCGTCAGCAACATTATTACTATGAATCTTCATGTGCTTGACGTGATAATATGTGTAGGGTGTATTCCTCTGACGGCTGTGATCCTGTTGTTGCCACTCGAAAGCAATAGTGCATTGATTTGCTGCTTCCATGAAGCCTGTGTGTCCTTTGCCAGTGTCTCCACAGCTGTCAATGTCTTTGCTATCACATTGGATCGCTATGACATCTCAGTAAAACCTGCCAATCGTATTCTAACTATGGGCCGTGCATTCGCATTGATGACATCGACGTGGATAGTTTCTTTCCTAGCTTTTCTGATTCCCTTCATTGAAGTTAGCTTTTTTAGCTTTCAAAGTGAAAACACTTGGGAGAACAAAACACTTTTGTGTGTCAGCGCTAATGAATACCACACAGAACTTGGGATGTATTACCACCTACTGGTGCAGATACCCATCTTCTTTTTCACAATTGTCGTGATGTTAATAACATACAGCAAAATACTCCAGGCTCTCAACATTCGAATTGGCACAAGGTTCTCAACAGGGCAAAAGAAGAAGGTACGCAAGAAAAAAACTATTTCTCTGGCTACACAGCATGAGACCACGGATGTCTCACAAAGCAGTGGAGGTAGGAATGTGGTGCTTGGTGTAAGGACTTCCGTATCTGTGATCATTGCCCTCCGCCGAGCAGTCAAAAGGCACAGAGAAAGACGTGAAAGGCAAAAAAGAGTTTTCAGAATGTCACTATTGATTATTTCAACTTTTCTTTTTTGTTGGACGCCCATTTCTATATTGAATACAACTATTTTATGTCTAGGTCCAAGTGACCTGTTGGTAAAACTTAGACTTTGCTTTTTAGTCATGGCCTATGGAACTACCATCTTCCACCCTCTGCTATACGCATTCACAAGGCAAAAATTCCAAAAGGTTTTGAAAAGCAAAATGAAAAAAAGGGTTGTTTCAATTGTGGAAGCTGATCCGATGCCTAATAATGCTGTAATCCATAATTCATGGATAGAACCCAAGAGGAGTAAACAAATGGCAACTGATGACAATGAAGCTAGGCAGAAATGTTTATCACCGCAGGTTGTCACTGACTAGCTTAGTGTTGTGGCTTTTCTTCCTGAAGCAAAGACAGGTATAAACAGGAGAAGAACACTGCCAACAAAGGAATGTTTTTATTTATTTTTACATTGATTATTACACTGTATATTTTCAATACATTGTACTTAGGATAGATGTTTGATTTTCACACTACAGGTCATTGGGCATGGCAGTCTGTTCATGTAATGTGTATAAATTTGTTGATATTTTGTTCACAGAAAGACATTTATGTGTAACTCCTTTTATAAGAAAAGAGAAAAATTAATGCAAAATAATATATATATATATATCTTTTAAAAAAGTTAAGACATTTGGAATAAAATATCTGCTGAAACCCGTTGGAACAAAGACATGTTTATTTACTACCACAGGATTGTGAGCAGTAACTTATGTTCTAGCCATACATGAAAGTAAATGACATATTTTTGGTCTAAACAGGAAATGTCGCCTTCTCATTTGGACAGAAACAAAGCAGGAATAATGATTGTACTATAGTCTACTAAAGAGGAACTAGGTCTTTAAATTTAAGTCAAAATATCGGGCCTATTTAAAGAAGACTGCGTTTTTGGGCCCATTTCAAGCTTTTGTACGTGTAGGCAAGGCTGACAAAATGACTGTATAGGACCTATTGATTTCTTTTCAGCTAGGACTTTCCAAACTAAGGTGCTGCATTTGAATATGTTGCTTGCAGCAACTTCCTTTGATATGAAGAGGTTTTCAGCTCTCACGATGGTCAATATGTGATTATTC